TCCTGCAGAGGTCAGAAAGGGGTCCGTTCAGAAGTCGGCCTCGTGCAGTAACCAAAATATAGTGATATTAATTTGCAAGGTAGCCGAAATTACAACCCTACTTAATGAAAATGTTCGAATGGAAAGCACATTGTAGAATTTTGGTTGAAATTTCATGAGATAGGTAAAATACCATATTTTTTAAAGGCCTGTGGTTTGGCATTGCTGCTTTCTCCCCTTAAATACCAGACCTACTGATGCTGCTGCTACTGCGAAGTTGGCCAAATAGCTTTCGTGAAAATGATTGCAGCGAACGGAATGGTTTTTTTTTACTAAAACCCCTGCACCGACCACTCCCACCGATGTTGCAAGGAAAAATAATTTGAAGAGCAACCTGTCCACGATAGTTTTTTGACATCAAAGGAGTCGGTCGGATTGAAGTAGTACCTTATGGCAACAACAACAAGCTGCAGATGCTGAGGCAGTGGCAAAAATACGACCTGACGTGCTCCTCAGGGACTAGGCTTAATGAACAAAAAGTCGAAATAAACAGATAATGTTGGAAGGGCACGAAAATAGTGATCTTACTTCCCTCCCCTATTCCAGAAGCTTGCGCTGATTCCCAGAAAGATAAGGTTTAATGTTAAGTTTATGGTAACTAGTCCATTATATTTATCTTCCAGGAATTCTGTTGTGTTATCAAAGTGGGTACATTACTCTTACTTTGGTTTTCATAATGCTTACCACAGTTCGGATACGACGGCACAGTTCAGTTCCGACGGAATGAAGGTAATCACAGCGTCTGTCGAGATTATCGAACACAAGTTTTTCTGCTGTCCTCTTTACAACAATAAATAAACAAGTGCGAGTTAGTATTCCCTCCAAAAAGAGAATTAGTTCTGCAGTTACGCACTCGTAGAGGCTGCTTCGAGTCGGCTGAATATACTCTTATGAACCATGCAAAGCATAAGACCTCTCAACCAATGCTTTAACCTTTAACGTCCTGAATGGCGTATAGTTCTAGATATGTGACACTTAGGGAACCTCAGATAAAATAGGGTTTTATGGTCGTTAAAAGGAAACTGAGTTAGCAGCTAGGTCCGTTTATCAGATAGTCTTCCAGTCCAAGCGGCCGAACAGCGTGCAGTACAAATTCATCGCAACAGACAGAGTGCTTGTTTTTATTAAACGCATTCTCCAAGAGGCCTCCTTTGAACACTCTCGACGATTTTGTAATTACTAAAAATTAAGAAGCGACACGTACAGGATAATCTGCTTTTGTCGCCATCAAAAGAGTCTTTCCGGTTAATTTTGTTACCCATGGTAACACAGTGAGCCAGCATTACAAGGCTGAGGCAGTGAGTAAAATAGGACATTATTTGTGGAGATCGGAGCACTGGCTGCTTTTTTAGTGAGAATGTATCTGCCAACACGGTGTTCCAAATCAACAAGATTTTGGCAAAAACAATATTAAATTTTTTTTCATTTCCTTATGAACCCCTCAAGACTTCATCTTATTTCCGCCAATGAAGCAAAATCTACAGGGAAAACACTTTCATAAAATATATAGTCGACTCCTCACTCATAAAATCACATGAATTTTACAAGAATGCCAAAACTACCCACGCTACGTCCCTGAAAGCTTCACAACCGTAAACAAACGATCGTTCTTGAAAAGTAGGGATATTTCAGTTTGTAAATTAATATTACGTTTTGTAGAAAAATAAACTTTTAAAAAAGTGGAAAATTCCGAAAATTTAAAAGACAGGGCCACTCAGTAAAATTTAATTTTAAATGCAGAAAAGCCTGTTCATCAAAGACACAGTGAATAAGGCAGCACCAATGGAATTAAGTTAAAAATAGTCTGTTGTTTATTCTTGAGAGACATGTTGTTCCATGTTATGTACAGTGTAAAGCATGGCCACAACCAAATACTCCAAAGTCCAAGTATGTATTCCAACATAGTTTCACAAAAATTGGCAGTGTTTTTTATTGCTTGAGATACGTTGGACTAAGGCAACGAGATTTTCCCATGATTGCACCGATTGGTACACCACGGTAGTAATATATTCGGTAAGCTCACATCTCTGCATTTCGGTCAACGACTAGTACATTTAAATATAATGGTTAGATGCGATCGTAAACATACCACGTTGGGTAAGTTAAGAGGCATTTCAATTCGTTACAGTTATTTGATCTTATTTCAGGAGTCCGATTACAACTACGTTCATACCTTTCTTAAAATATTAGTGAACATTTCGATTTTCGGTGTCCTTAATCGATTGGTTTACGTATTTATTAAAGTCTAAAAAGATGTTTATTTAAAGTCATTACCATAATAGGGAGCTTTTGGACATACATTCAAATAGAGTTGACTTTTCTGGTCATCTTTTTTGACCCACCTAAACATCTCACTTTATTGTGGAGACATATGAAGGTCCAAAAAAGTCACGAGCAAAATTTATATTTCTTTGATGAATAAAAAACGGTCTTTAAAAATTCGTCTGCTTAAAGACGTTCAATTCAGATATTTAGACGTGAAATATCTACGTACTATAACTTTTTCGAAGGCTTAGTGAAGATAAAATGGGAAACATTGGCCGTGTCTTGACTTTCTTGCAAAATTAGGCAAAATTCTTTTGCTGAAGATGAAAGAAATCACCTTTTACTTTGTAATGGAAGGGTTTGTGGTAAATTGATTTACGCTGAGCACCGCCCCTGCTCTAACACTACAAATGCATGGCAGGGTGAGAGGATACATTTCAAAAAAGCCGAAAACTCAGAAATTGGCGTAACTAATTAGACTTTGGTTTTAATTGAAGAAAAACTTGTTCATGCAACAAATCAAGTAGATAAAGCAGCACAACGAAAATCACATGTAAAGTAGTCCTTTTGTTAAACTTCCGGAAACGTATTCTTTTTTTATTACTTGCACGGTAGATTAAAGAGCCTTAAGTGATAAAATATATTACACGATGGTTTCACAAGAACTTCCTGTTATTCTTCCGTATATACACTGCTTCAGATAGGTTGGACTGAGGAAAACAGATGTTCGCTTGATTGCGTCCATAATCTGACATATGGACATGCCTGTCAGTCGGTTGTTCACCCACAACGAGGTTCAGATTGTTTCTGAATAGCAGCGAACACATAACGATTTTTAAAGTTGTCAGTCGATGACCCATACATAAGAATTCTGTTTCACTTGCTTATTGAAAGGTTCGTAACAAAAAGTCACAAGGTATGCCTAAGGTCAGTCAGAAAGTCCCTTTAGAAAATGCTTTCATAAGATATTTCGATGTCAAATGTCTTCGTAATTTAAGGCTTTGAACGCTGTGTCAAGGCAAAAATGAGAAATGTTGACCGTTTTTTGGATTCCCACAAAGTGTGGATAAGCCATCTGCTGAAAAACAAAAGAGTGCACTTTTCTATGTATAGTGGAGTATAGTTTCCTGTATTTGTTTACTTTTAGGCCAAGTTCTAAAATTGCAAGAGCCCAAATGTGGGAAACTGTTTACATTAAGATTTTGCGAAAATTTATAATCTTCTACCCGTTCCATTTTAGCCTTCCGCATTCGCTCATGGTAAGCTGTAGATGCAAATTATTTGGACGGTATTTTGCGAGTGCTCATATACAAACTTGTTTATAGGCCTACATTTTGTTGTAGTAAAAAAAAGCCATAGCTGCCCAAGTTTAATACCAACGTTTACAATAAAATTTTTGAAATGAGGGCCACCATTCTTTTCCCGAAAATAATGTGATTTCTTATATTTGCATTTAACTGATTTTCATGAACGCAAAATGACATTTTCGATCTCTGAGGAGATAAAGTAAACATTTTTTTGTGTCTGTGAATTTTTCTTCATAGTGCAACACGTACAAAAAAGGTTACGTTTCGTAGCTTTTATTAACGCAGGATATTTATTGAATATGAGAAACCGTGGATTTCGGCTAATTCTGCTCATTCGTTCCTTCAATACACCGAAATGAATTAAACTCTTTTTAGTAAACTACTTTTGGGCTTTAAATCAATTCGATAAAAAATATCAACCTCACATGTGCGTTACACTAATCCCTCAAAGTTTTTCAATTCACACTTCAAGAGTAACGCTATTTACTGTATAAGCGATTAAAAAATGCGCAAAATCGCAAATCGCTGTAAGCATGTAACGGCAGTAGTCCATGAGAATAAAAAAGATTTCCAGTGATGGTAAACCTATTGGGTAAAATAACTATGACCCAAGATTCATTTTAACAGAGACCAATACGTTAAAAATGCTATCTTTAATCATATATTTTTCTTTGAGAACCCCCTCCTACTGACATACATATCGCTTAGTAAATTGTTCTGCGATGTTAAAAACGCAATTACCGAGCGAAAGATTTTGAAGCATATGCTATCGGCCACTGCACAAAATACAGAATAACTGCCAGCACCTTGACTGCAAATAGATTCTTATATGCAAAAATAATAGTCTGTTCTACCTTTATATTTTTTATTTCTGCCCGTGGCAGTTGGCTTCACCCAAAATCGCTACTTCGAAAAGCGTGATACACCACTTTTTAAAAATCTGCGAAAAAAGTAATCTTCATTAAGAGTGAAGTATCTTGATTTCAAAAAAGAGCTCATACCTACATGAAGTTATAAAATAGATCACCTATCGTTCCATCTTTTCACTGCAACCGCAAAAGGTTCAGGTTATAAATGAAGCCTTCTGATAATGTACTCTTTTATAGCCTTCGTGCTCTTAGACAAGAAGTAGGATTGCGATCACAGAACCCCAGCACGACACTTTCCTTCGCACCCTGCTAGTTGGAATTCGAGTTTCCTGAGTAGAAATTACCCCACTAACGAAAATTAAATCTTCTGACCAATCAGCGTTTTCGGCTTCTCGACCAATCACGTCGGCCCTCTAAAAACACGTTAGATCGACTTGCATATTCTTTGACCACGCCTACGAGGAGCCACCATCGGCTCATAGAGGCAAAATGTTCTGACTGGAATGTGCGCGTCCAGCCGATGGATCAACTCACCGGAAATGAATCGCATCTGGAAGAGCAGCCTGCGTGTGCAGGTTGCGGTCCCTTCAATGACAATGGCAGCTCCCAAACACTGGGTTGTGTGCCTCTCTCAATTGGCCTCGCCGGCGTTTTCGGAAATATCATGGTTCTTCTCGTTCTGCTATCCCTTCCTCCCCTTCAGCATCCCAGCAACCAACCCCTTTTCATGCTAAGCCTCGGTTTCTCCGACCTGGCCTCCGCTCTCTGTTTTCTCCTCTTCAATGCACGCTATGCCTTCCTGGGTTGGGGACCGGCAAATCGCTGGGAACTGGATATCGGTGCTGGTCTGGTCTACTGCCTCCTCAATATCAGTATCATCAGCACCATCTGTATTGGGCTGGACAAACTGGTTCACGTGACCCAGCCCTTTGCCTACACACGCTACTGGACACCCCGGCGCTGCGCCGGATTCATCCTCGCCTTCTGGCTTCTGTCCCCCTTCCCGGCCATTTTACCCTCCCATCTGGCCGCCATTCCGCACTACTATTACGAGTTTGATAAACGTACGCTCACCTTTATAACCGTCCATGACTCCCAAGTCTCCCAACTCTTGGTGTGGCGAGCCCTTCTGTTCCTATTCCTGGTGACCCTCTTTCTGATTGGCTACCTGGGTCTGTGCATCATTATTCGACGTTTTACGACGCCGCCGGTACTGTTGTCGAGGCAAAACTCTAGACCTCAACCGCCTCCTTTACAGACCACCACTACCACCACTACCACCACCACCACCACCACCACCACCGAAAAAGATACTGGCGTTGACACCCAAAAGGCCCTGGTGACGGGGCTCTCAGTCAGTCTGAAGGGCACAAAAACCATCGGCCTGGTCATTATGTCCTTCGCCATGCTGTGGTTTCCGTACTTTGTATTTCTCCTGTTGGACGCCTACCGAGTGACTCGCGTGGCACAAGATCCGCGTGTGAGAAAAACTCAACAGGGTGTCTGCTCGCTGAGCCGACGTGTTCGTGACTTCATTCTCATATGGCTGGCTATGTCACACACCTGTACCAACGTGATCATCTACTACGCCACATATAAGCCCTTCAGGAAGAGTATGACGCGACTGGTAAGGTTACGCAGACAGCGAGGTTAGCGCTGGTTGCGATTGTAGCTCTCTCGCTCTCTGTCAGAACGACAATCGCGGCCGACATCTAACACGCCAAAAATAGCTCACTCATGTCTGCTTTTTGTGTTAATATTCCACCAGGTTTTGAGAAGACAGTGGAGTGGCGGAAGCAGACATGCTACCAGCCTTCAATGTGTGTGAACGGTGAAGTCATTCTGCGCTCGGAATCTGGTAATTTTACCTGTCAGAAAATATTAAAACCAATTTTTGTTGCTTCCTTTATAATTTAAGTGTGGCTGCTGGGCAAAAAATAGCAAGACTTTATAATTCCACTGTTGATTGTTACCATTTTCCCGACACCTAGCAACCTTTCTATAACTTGGATATTTTTTATGTGTTGTTGTGTTGTGTGTGTGTGTTGTGTTACTTCAAGTAGGTTGTGATATTTAGTAGAGCACAAACCCCGGGTACTTCAGTCACGCCAAGACTCTTTTGAACAATATCTTATTCTCTGTAAAAATGCAACTATGATGGGCTAACTTGTTTCCACTGATTGTCAATGCACTTGTCAAGTCAAATTTATTTGACCGAAAAACCCTCATTAAGAATGTTTCTTCCTATATTCAGTTGATAGTAACTTATGCTATCTACAACGTTGACAGCGTTTTCACTTTCGAGAGGTTTTGTGCTTGTGAGATATCTCAAACCTCAGAAATGTTTGTCCATAGAGCATGATATCCATTGTTGCTATTAAAATAGGTCTTATGATCCCTATTCACAGCAAAATTTTTATAAGCCCTATATGACCTCTCCGTAATAGCGTATATAATCTACGATTTTAACTGCACGAAAACTGTGCAGCTTTTGGACTGCAAGCCTCGAATGCAAAAACAACAGCAGATCTTATTAATCAGCAAAAAGAAAGTTTTCTAAAGCCCAAAGAAAGCCTTCTTTGAGCATAATCTTTGAAATTGAAAAAAATACTGACAAAGCCAATGAAATACAAGAAAAAATAATAAAAGATTGATGGTACAGTTACTGATATGGCAAAAAGTTGGCGAGTTATCTCAAAGGCAGAGCAGAACGAGTGAGGTTCGTTATCGCTCGATGACCGTTAGTCAACGAAAGTTGGTTATAACAAAAGAATGCATAAAAACAAATGTATTAGTATTCTGTGGCTCTGTAAAACACTTTCGTCTCATTCCCAATGAAGTTTTTCTCAAAATTAGACGTCTAACAGGAATTGGCGAAATGCTTGGAACTTCAAAAGTCTGCGGTCAGAATAACTCCATGTCTTCTCAGAAGAAGAAGAAGAAGATGCGGCCACTGGAGCAACAGTTTTATTCTCCTGACGTTTCGGATTCTGTCAAAAATCCTTTATCATAGGTTATAGGTAATAGATAGGCTGGGACATGTGCAGATGGAGATCTTGGCTTTCGCTGCGAATAGGGGATTACTTATTATGTAACCGATTGCGTGGACTGAGAACCAGGTTGCAGAAGCTCCTTCCTAATGTAGTATATATGACGATCCCAGTCAGTGTGACCCTGCCAGCATTAAATCCTTTTGAATGAAATTAGAGTTCTAAGTGCGTTCA